GTCAGAGGTGGTATTTACTGGTTCTCCGAACTATTCGAAATTTCCGCTACCGGTTCCCCAGAATTGGTCAGAACCTGCTGAATACCACCTCTGCTTCCAGGACTGACATCCTGTCTTCCCTGTGAAAACATCTGTCCTCTGGAACAGCCTTTCCCAAAGACTGAAATGGTTCCACTCTTGTTAACCTTTTAAATATGTGTTGAAAAATTGGTTCCTGTCACAAGCTAGGATAGGATTGGACCTCCCAGTGTGAGAGCTTTATAATTTCCATTGGGATCTTTAGCTTTTTTTATGAGTTGTATCATTGTTCAATTTTAGATTTGTTTAACTGCCCCAAATCATTGAAACTTTGAATGGCTTTAGAAAGAGCGACAAGTAAATGCATAACGAAATGTATGTATGTATGTATGTATGTATGTATGTATGTATGTATATGAATTTCCATTTAGTAGATTAATTAATTGACCTATCATTTACAAGGAGGGTGTGTGAATAGAATAACAGAGTTGGAAGGGACCTTGGGGGTCTTCTAGCCCAACCCCCTGCTCTGGCAGGAAACCCTACACCACTTCAGACAAATCGTTATCTAATCTCTTCTTAAAAACTTCCAGTGTTGGAGCATTCACAACTTCTGGAGGCAAGTTGTTCCATTGATTGATTGTTATAACTCTCAGGAAATTTCTCCTTAATTCCAGCTTGCTTCTCTCCTTGATTAGTTTCCACCCATTGCTTCTTGCCCTGTCCTCAGGTGCTTATAATTTATATATATATATATTCCCTTCTATTTTCAGCAAGTAACACCATTGGTTAAGGAAGAAATGTAACAAGAAATGCTGAGTTGCTCTTGGCTTATCTCAAAAAGCTAAGGATGGTCAGACTTGATTCATCCATGGGAGGAAATCTAGGGCTAGATAATGACATTAGAAATGTCACTAAGAGCTGTAATGGCACAGAGGTTAGAATGTAGTATAGCAGGTTAACCGTGCACACTGCCAGCAGTTCGATCCTGACCAAGTCAAGGTTGACTCAACCTTCCATCCTTCCAAGATGGGTAAAATGAGGGCCCAGATTGTTGGAGGCAAGAGGCTGACTCACTATGAATTGGTATATAAATCTTCAGTGTCATTGCTGTTGCTATTGACTTATTTGATCTCCTTGCAATGGACTCTCAAGAGTTTTCTCCAATACCACAATTTGAAAGCATGGAGAATAATAATTTTTATTATGGTCACAAATCAGCATTACTCCTAGGAGAAAATGGGATTAAAAATGGGCTTTAGACTATCTAAACCAGGGTCCCCCAATAGAGCCAACATCAACCCTCAAGGGTCAATGGGGCTATCCAACTGTTGATGCTGTTATTACTATTACTGTTGCTGTAGTACCATTAAGCACTAAATGACAGTATTTATGAAGTTGTTTGCATATAATAAATATTAGGGATGGGTGAGAAAATTGAAGGTTTATGAAGGAGTTGAAAAATTTGAGGACTTTGATCTCAAAATTAAACATATTTTTGATGCTTCCCTTTCTCAAACCAGGGACACCTGTTGAGCCTGTCAACCACCTATGGGGACCTTCAGGCTGTCAGATACTTGTTAAAGGAGACAGATGTGTCCATAAGCCTTGAGCCCAGTGATGATAATCCAGCGGTGGTAGCTGCGTATTTTGGACATAAGGACATAGCACAAGAATTGCTGGATTCTTTTCTTGGTAGGTTGAGTTTCTAGCCCTTCTCCTCCCATACAGTACACTTTTACTAATGTCAGGTAGTCCTCAACTTACAACAGTTCATTTAGTGACCATTCAAAGTTACAACGGCACTTTAAAAAGTGACTTCTGACCAATTGTCACACCCCCATGTTCGTGTGATCAAAATTCAGACGCTTGGCAGTTGACTCATATTTATGACGGTTGCAATGTCCCTATTCAGGCAATTCCCCCTTTTGCGACCTTCAGACCAGCAAAGTCAAGCGGGAAGCCAGAGTTCACTTAACGAACAGTTTGACGAATTAACAACTACAGTGATTCCCTCAACAACCGTAGCAAGAGAAATGGTAAAATGGGGCAAAACTCACTGAACCAATTTCTCACTTAGCAACCTCAATTATGGGCTCAAAACATGGTCTTATGTTGAAGATTACCTACTTATGGAAGAGGCTGCCAAAATGTGCTCAACAATCTGTGCTTTCGGTTTTACACATTACAATAGTGCATTTGCACCAGAGTGGTGTGGTGGCCTTAAAGATGGAGCTCTCGCCTCACAATCAGGAGAGGCTGTGAGTTCGATGCTAGGTAGAGGCAGATATTTCTCTCTCTGGACACAATGAGTATATATCTGCCGAATATAACTCCACATTGGCAACAGGGAGGACATCTGGCTAGTAAACACTCAGCTCCATTCAGTTGCCCCGACTCCACCCTGCAAGAGATTATGGGGTCATTAAAAGTAGAGGATGAACACCGCCTTCACACAGTATGCTATGCCAAAATCAGTCCAGAAAATTTCACATTGATATTTACCGTATTTTTCGGAGTATAATATGCACCTTTCCCCCTCTAAAAGAACATGGAAATGTTGGTGCATCTTAGACACTGAATACAGCCATTTTTGGCCTCCTGAAGTCCCCTCCCCCAACATCCCATCCCAAAATCAGAGGCGTTTTTGCCTTCCCCCAGCCCTGCTGAAGCCTGCAGAGTGCTCCTGGGGGCTGGGGAGGACAAAAACCTGTTTTTCTTACTCACCTCTTTGAAATCTTGATGCAATACACCGGGACGTCTTATAGTCTGAAAAATACAGTAAGTGCATTGTCTGATTCCCACCTCCTTTTGATGTTGTTCTCACAGTGGCAGGAAAGGTCGTAAAATATTCTTGCCAGCCTCCACACACCCTGTCTTTGCCCGAGGGTGGTAATAACTTCAGTCCATGAATGCTCTTTTCAACAGGGGCAACGAACATCTTGCAACTGCTGAATTGGATGTTGGTGGTGGCTTGCCAACAAGGCCATCTAGAAGTGGTTAAGCTCTTGGTGCTGGTATACAAAGCGAACCCTGACAGCTACGCCATGAGAAAGAATGAGTTCCCCGTACTCCTTCGATTGCCGCTTTACGCCGCCATGCAAGAAGGTGTGTGATGGTTTGTTCTTTCTGGGCCATTTTTTTTTCCTTTTCTGGAGTTCCCAAAAGAGAGGGTGGGCACGAGAAAAGAGGAATTAGTTTCCATCCATTGCTCCTTGTCCTGCTTTCAGGTGCTTTGGAGAATTTCAGAACTGAGTACTTTAAGAAAAAGGTTTTAGAAAAGTAGTATTTTAATTGCTTAACATAGCTTCGGGGCTTATGTGTGTTTATTAGGCCATGATGATATTGCTGCCTTTTTGCTGGAGAATGGTTCCTTCTTTTGTTCTTACACACTAATGGATTGTCCCAAGGCGAGCAAACGGCTTCTTTGCAATCATTTCATTGAACCAGTTTCTTCATCCAGGAATGTCCAGGCAAAACCAGTAAGTCATGCGGGAGATGGGGGTGGGCAAAGAAATTGTTTAAATATTGTAATTGTTAGCTACTAGTACCCATGGTGGCCCATTGGTTAGGATGCAGTGTTGCAGGATAACTCTGCTGACTGCCAGCAGTTCGATTCTGACCGGCTCAAAGTTGACTCAGCCTTCCATCCTTCGTCGGTAAAATGAGGACCCAGATGGTTGGGGGCACTCTGTAAACTGCTTAGAGAGGGCTGTAAAGCACAGTGAAGTGGTATATAAGTCTAAGCGCTATTGCTACTAAAACTGCATTTAATGCATACGAATAGTTTTGAGAAGTTATGGAAGGGCACTTTGATTCCTACAATGGATGAATGACTGCAAACGTTTATGGCGTGAACAGAGATGGCTAAATTGACTGCTTTGATTAAAGAAAAAAAGACAATTGTTTTTGTTTCTACTTGAAAACCGCTTCTCGACTTTGTACTTGAGGTGGGGAAAAAATGAAACTTTGACTTTGGGCTTTACCAGTTAGATAGAATCGTTAGTTAAACTATTATGTAAAATTAAAAAGTTGAGGCTTGATGTTAGTATCTTATTCTACTGCACCAAAGGGAGATGGAAGTCAATGTCTTTTCTTTCCTTTTTTTTTCCTTTTCCCCTCTCTTCTCCCTCCCTTTTTTCCTTACTATTTTCTTTTGTATTTCTCTATTTCAAATTATAAACAAATTTATAAACTGTATATAGATAGATTGTTGATGATCCCTCATCTCTTTATCTTCAGGGTCTTTCTGTGAACTGGTCCAAGCTCAGATTGCCTTGGGTGGATTTTGACTGGCTGATAGATCTTTCCCATCAAATAACGGAGCTGGATCTCTCTGCTAATCAACTGACCTCCTTGCCGTCCATCATTCCTTGGGGTTTGATGAACCTTCAGAAACTGAACCTCTCCGACAACCGATTAAAACAGCTGCTTGACGTACCGTCCTCAGATGGAATCATTTGCACGAAGTAGGTGGACCTCATCCTTAGAGAAATTTACCTGGGAGGGATTGTGAATATAGGATGTACTGTATTTTTCGGACTATAAGATGCACCGGAGTGTATCATCTATATAGCTATATAGCTGTCAGCCTCTGTTTTGCTGCTTGCTTTCCGGCTGCCATTGAAACGGGGAGGGAGGGCATGGTATTTGGGTGGGGGGAAATAATCTGTACAGGAGGACTGTTAATTGGGAGTTGTTCGTTTGCGCATGTGGAAGGAGGGGAGTTTCCCGCCAAGGCCAACTGTCCAGCATTCCAATCTGATGATGATGTTTGAAGATGTTTCCCACCTGACAGTTGTGGTGATATATGATTGGACTGTGGACTGGGGTACCAAGGGGAGGGGAATGAATCATGTATTGATATCTATTGCTTTCGCGCTCTTTTGCTCAGATCCAGCTTTGCTTCGCTTCTCATCGTTTATAATCAGTAAAAGTACACTTAATTCTGAAACATGGAGTTGAGTGGTTTCTTTCTTGATTATTAAGTGAAGGAGCGTGACAATAGCTATCTTCCATTTCCTTTTTTTTTAATACACAGGTTACTGGCGATTGACATATCTAACAACAGATTCCTCAGCCTTCCTTCTGGTTTATTGTACCTTTCTAGACTCCAAAGACTCGCTGCTTCCCAAAATTATTTGGAAAGACTCTTTGATGAGGAGAACAGTGAGTGATATCTTCAAAATCCAACCGATTGTTTTGGAATAGAAAGAAAAGACATTTTTCCTCCTTCTGGATATCCCTATCCTTTAACTTATGGTGGCCTTCTTTATGTTCCGATTCTACATCTTCTCAAATCACTGGAAGTTATTTATTCTTCCTTCTTTTCATATCCTGAAGCACATTCAGTGTCCTGGTCTGCTCATCCTTCAGCACACACACAAGCCCCTTTCTTCCTTTCTTTTGGAAAGCCCTAAGCCATAAATAGGACGCAGTGGCTCAGTGGCTAAGATGCTGAGCATGTTGATCAGAAAGGTTGACAGCTCGGCGGTTTGAATCCCCAGCACAGCATAACGGAGTGAGTTCCGTTCTACTTGTCTCAGCTTCTGCCAGCCAAGCAGTTTGAAAGCATGTAAAAATGCAAGTAGAAAAATAGGGACCACCTTTGGTGGGACGGTAACAGTGTTCCGTGCACCTTTGGCATTGAGTCATGCTGGCCACCTGACCACGGAGATGTCTTCGGACAGCACTGGCTCTTCAGCTTTGAAACGGAGATGAGCACTGCCCCCTAGAGTCGGAAATGATTAGCACATATGTGCAAGGGGAACCTTTACGTTTAAGCCATAAATATACAATTTAATGTTCATAACTTACAAATCATCTTTACACATCACAATGATTGGATACATTAATGTCCAAGCAGATTGCACAATGGCTTAGCATGATGTATGAATTTGGCTATTGTCCTTCTGCAAAAACTAAATTGCCCAAGAAGAGAACTAATTCAGAGAAAAGAGTAAACCTGACTAGCAAAGATTCTCATATTTCTTGGTGAGCTATTTTCCTTTGGATTTTTCCCTCCCCCAGCAACCAACTGGATTGGATTAAGAAAACTGCAGGAATTAGACGTCTCGGACAATAGATTATCGGAGCTGCCTGTTTCCTTTCTGCACTGCTTGAAATCATTACAAAGCCTCAACGGATCCAGCAATAACTTAAAAGTGTTTCCTCTGCCGTGGGCCTGTCCTTTGGTAAGTCTGGCTAATCATTGTGCTAGTTAGGTGATCTCGGTGAATTCTAGAATGTGTCATTTTTGATTTGTGTGAGAATTCATTGGAAAACATCTCTTTTGTTTTAAAAGTGTTTTTATTTTTTATTCTCTTACATACAACTATAAATATACATTCACATAGTTGTTATTCTTCTTTACATTTGTCATTCTTATACATTTGTTATTCCATTTAATAGGTTATAATATACAGTTTGGGTTGCTTTATTTACCATCCCTTCTGCCTGTTATAAGAACACCTTATTTTCCCTTTCTCTTCTCCCTCCCTCTCTCCCTCCCTCCCTCTGTTCTCTACTTTCTTCCTTCCTCCTCTCCTTCCCCTTCCTTCTTCCCTTACCTCTCCCCTACTCCTACTCTTCCTCTTGATTGAAAGACATCTTTGAATAAGTACATTTACGACTACACTTGAGTCCCAAATTTCTGTGGGTAAGCGAGAAAGTTCTTAAGTGAATTTTGCTCCATTTTATGACTCTTTTGCCACAATTGTTAAGTGAATTACTTCCATTGTTAAGTTAGTAACAATAGCATTTAGACTTATATATCCCTTTACAGTGCTTTGCAGCCCTCTCTAAGTGGTTTACAGAGTCAGCCTCTTGTCCCCCCAACAGTCTAGGTCATCATTTTACCCATCTCGGAAGGATGGACGGCTGAGTCAACCGTGAGACTCAAACTGCTAAACTGCAGTCACCAGCAGTCAGCAGAAGTAGTTTGCAATACTGCACTCTAACCACTGTGCCACCGTGACTCATAAGATGGTTGTTCAGTGAATCTGGCTTCCCCATTGACCTTGCTTGTCGGAAGGTCACAAACGATGATCACATGACCTCAGGATATTACAACAG